ATGTGAGACGGCGGGATGCTGACGCCCCTGTACGGAGATGCGAGCGGATTACGGTTTTCGGGGGAAGTAGGGGAAGGGGTAGACCTAAGAAGAATTGGGAGGAAGTGATTAGACGGGATTTAGGACTTCTCACCCTGACTGAGGATATGGCTTTAGATAGGAACCTTTGGAGAACTAGGATTAGAGTAGCTGGTTAGGAACTCGGTGCTATAGAGGTTTTTTGTAGTGTGTTGTGTTTGATTGGAATCTTCTATTAATACTTGTAGAACTTTCTTTTCATTGTACTTGGTGTTTTATCCATGCTATACTGTATACCCTATCATATTTTTTGTGCAGGTTGAGCCGGGGGTCTCTTGGAAACAGCCTCCCTGCTTCCAAGTAGGGGCAAGGTCTGCGTACACACACCCTCCCCAGACCCTACTGTAGTGGGATCCAACTGGGTTGTTGTTGTTGTTGGATTATTCCGAATCTGAATTCGATCCAAATTGAAAATAGGTTGGTGTCAATCCGATCTGACCCCGTTGCCATCCCCAAACATACTAAACTAGTTTGAGAAATTTTTTATAATTAAAAATATTAAATAATACCCCAGTATGAAAATTAGCTTCATCATTTGAAAAGGACTCTTTTTCGGGGTAAAAATAAGCTTTGAAGCATGACCCTTTCTATGAGATTGACTGAGAGGGAGTATTATTTATGTTGAAAATATATAATTCTCATAAAACTTTTAAGTGTTTTGTAAACATAGTTGAGAATCGAAAAATGTTTTTGAAAACAGAAATTCATGTTTTCTATAACTTTCAAAATTTTGTATCTCTTTTTTTGGAAACTAAAAGAAAAAATATTTAAGTCAATAGCATTTTCTTGTTTTGGTTTTCAAAAAGTCAAAACAAAAGCAGAAATCAGAAAATAAAATGGTTACAAACCGACACTTACAAAACATGCAAACCCAGCAAATAAATAGAGTCAGAGAAGATAAATATAGAGATTAGGGCCATGAGGCAGTTTCACTTAAAAGTTGCAATTTATGAGTGACGAATTTTCACATACTACTGCTGGTCCTTTTTATAAGGCATAGTTGACCTTTTTCTTTGAGAATTTAATATTAGAAAATAAGTGTCATAATTGTATCATATGGTGTGTATCATTACATTATATATCAGTTTAAAAGTTAGGCAAGATAGATGGATGAGAAATGATCAATTGAAATGCTTCTAATTAACTAAGTTAGGACTAAAAAAAGTCAACTATTTAGGACCTGATGGAGTATTTGTCCTCTAAGACAGGACAATCATATAAGACTATTGACAAAAGAGGAAGACTCCGCCCAGTAAGTGTACAGTGAGCAAAACAAGAATGCTTACCTCATCTGAAATTTGAATTGGTGCACTTGCTGCATCAGATAGAATAAACTTCTGTAGACTTTCATCTAACCTTGGACTAGCTGTGTTCAAACAAAACCAAAATGAGACATCGTATAGCATCCCGTCATTCTTTAAGCTATGTTTGGTACACCGTACACATACACCATAACCTAGTTATTGGCTCCTTTTAAAGAGAGTTTTTTAAATAAGCTCCATTTGGTTATAGAAGCTTATTTGATCATATCGAAGTTATATCAAATTCTTCTTTGAGTAGTTTTTCAAACCAGCAACATGAGCTTTTCATTTATAATTCAATTCATATTTTAAACTTAATCTTGTGTCTCATTGTGTAATCCTTACACCTAAGCTGATTCATACTATACTTTTTGCAAACATTGATATTTAGACCAGCTAGCGTTTGAACTAGAACATTTCCAAAGGGCTCATCAAAAGCTTCAATTTTTTACTTTATAGAGGTAAATCATTTTTGTTTCTTCAAAGGGCTCTTTATAGTACTTTTTTATGTCTTAGGTATGACTCTCCAATTGTAGAGACTGGAGAGTCTTAGCCACTCTTTACATTAAAAGTGCAGGCATTTATAAATAGACCTCTATCTATAATTTTAAAACATGATTACTAAAAAGACTGTTAAAGTGTAGTGTTTGAACTTGAATAGATTTCTCTCTATTTTATACAGATCCCTTAAAAAAGTCTTTATTTTAAACATTATGCTCCCCAAAACAGAGAGGGGTCTGGAGATGCTCTTGGCAACCGTATGGATTTGTTTGCCTAACATAGTGTTCGTACAATGCACTTGAAAGCCACAACATCCATTCAAATAGCATGATAGCAAACAATGAGGCTTGTCTAACGAAAACTAAGGCAATGTGATCTTGAAGATATGCATTATGTATGCTAGTGGGATTCACCTCCCAGCTGAAATTTTAATACATTGCCAGATACCTGGTGAACTAAAGAAATATGATTAATCTTATGCCCCAATAGGAGTGACCTGACAATACACATCAGTGTTGCCTGCTGAATGTACACATAGATTAAGTGTACTGAAGTGACAAGTCACCACATCATTTTCATTTGGTAACAACAATTTCAGTAAAATAAGCAAGTCAAATGCTACATAGGTTAAAATGGGCGTCACCAACTGTTTTTCCTTTTTTTTTTAAAGAATTAGCACATTCAGCCATTCCAGCCAAACAGAACCTGAATTTGATGTAAATGTTGTTTTACTCGGAACCGTCCAATTGAGATCCGAGTAAATCCGACTTGTGGCACCAGCAGCCCCTAATCGGACAGTTCCGAATCCATGTAAGAAAAGTCACTAATCTGGTTTCAATTCACACCCTATGCTTCCAGTAAACTAAATTCCAGATAAAAATAGCAAATCAAACATAAACAATTACTTACATTGAGCATTAGAAGCAAAGCACCCCCATCTTAGCAATGATTTCTTTGCATTTGGGGCTGTTACGAGACCACTAAATCCAATCAATGACTTAGTTTTGATTCCAGGCAATCTGTTCAATCTGGACCCTCCAAAACCGAAATCCAGGTTTCTTATCTTAAGACTTGAAGCCCCTAAACTACCTGGTGGAGAGAAAGAGCAAAATCAGTAGAATTCAAGACTTAATTACAATTCAATTATCATAATAACATTAACTGGAAATTAGTTGAGAACATTTAATTATTACAGCCCGAAATTTATTCCGACTTCTTATATAAACGAGCTCGAATTGGAGATTTATCGGACTTAATTGTTATGTAAACAAATTGTGGGTGGAAATGATAGAGCGCAATGAGCACTTACACGCCGCCATTAGAGATCTTCGGACTGCAAATTTACCGGTTAGGTTTGAAGCTTTTGCCGCCGGCGGGGTCGCAGACGGTGCAGATGAAGATCGCTGCGCAGGACGGAGTTTACGACGTTCTGAACCAGCTAGTAGCTAATTGACGCAGATGAAACGAAATTATTTCCAATTTTATTTTCATAGTAAACTTCTTTTCTTTAATTTTGACTAAAGTATTGAAAAAATATATTGAACAATCTGAATGGTGATACGAATTACTAAATATCAATAAGTTTATTTTAAAATATTATTTTCACGCCCTAAAATTTTCTTTCAAGTTTCATTTACGAGATTTAACTAAAATTATTTTCAATTCAGATCAATTTATTTAATAACAAGTGTAAAATTAAAATGTGAAAATTATATATTTAAAAACTGCATCAAAAATTCTACAAAAAGATGTGACAAAACTATATTATTTCATCAAATAACTAACAAAAATAAGTAAAGAAATTATTAGAGTTTGATCGTGAATAGTATCTGAGAAGAAAATTTAAGATAAAGAAGCATTTTTTGATGACATAATAAATTGTCACCTCAGACTCTCAGAGATATGCTCCTTTGCCCTAAATTTTCTTCTCAGGTTCCAATTTTATTACGATTACAAAAAAAGGTGACAAGATTATATTATTTTAACTAGTTTCCAATTTTATTTCGGAGTTTGTGATTTTACGTTAATACTCCGAAATTGAATAATTTATAGCGATGTTCATTAAAATTGTTTGACCTTATACTAATACTCCATGCTGCCAACTAACCAGAACACATGTCATTATTTTTATATAACTCCGTAGTTACCAGCTCATTCTTAATAATTCTCCGGTCACCATTTAAAATGACACGTATTCCGCTTTTAGTTGGCAGCCTGAAGTATTGGTCTAAAATTGAGTAAATTCTACGAGCAGTAGTGTAAAATATTTAATTTCAGAGTATTATCACAAAATCACAAATTCCGTGGAGTATTTATGTGAATTTTTCCTTTTTTTTGGTATTTTGTAATTGAAGTATAGTTTTAATTACTACGGAGTACCTTTTTTGTTGTTTATGAATATGCTTGGTTCTCTTTTCTTAATCTTGATAGATTCTATAAATTTCATTTTTCTTCATTGATTATGTGTATTTAAAATTGTTGCTTGTCTCTTTGTTCTCTCGCCTCATTATGCCTCACTATTTGAAGAACCGAAGAAGAAGAAGAAGAACGAATTAATTTGGGATTTTCTAAGTATATTTGTGAGTTAGTGAATTTTTCGTGCTTTTCACCTGTGAATTTGATACACGCGGAATAAATGGCTAGGTCCAACGACCACTCGTTTTGAGGGACCATATAAGCCACTGCCACCCTACGATATTCCATTCATAAAATTGATGGTTCTACCCATTAATCCCTCGGTAAATCTCCCACCTAGTCTCAAGCCCTACCCATTTTCCACTCACGTCAATTGCACCCCGTAAGTTTAGTTGACTTTAAAGTTAAGCATGTTTACCTCAAAAATCAACTAAATTTGCAGGATGTAATTAACGTGGATAGGATGGTTTACCGGGGAGATAGGAAGCATGAATTATCAATTTTACGAACGAAGAAACGTAAGTATTTGAATCGGGGCTGGGCTTCTGTGACCACTAAAAGGCAGTGGCCTGTGGAGTAGAAAGTGGGAGTTGATTCATTTTTTATAGCTACACTTACAAACAATTTGTTGCAACATTTCTCAGTAATTATATCAACTCCTTTGTTGTTCTCTTTGAAATTCTATTTGAGGACAAAATTTACTACAAATGACTTGACTAAAATTTCAATCTATAAATGGTTGTATTGCATCATCTGTTTACATCCCATTTGAGTTGCTGAATTGCCTTTGTTATAATGGTTCAACCTTTTTCATTTCAAGTTTTTTTCCATGGTTATATTATTGCATTTGACACAAAACAAATTCACTTTTAACACTACACTCAAAGTAACATATGTCTTATCTCTATATTGTCCATTCAAGAAACATAAATGAAGGAAAAGTGACTCATTCATTGCTTTTCAATACCTTCAAGTTTACATCAATGAGTATATATGACATATAAGAGTGCCATTAGCTTGGAAGAGGTGGCACCCCTTGAATTGAGGCAAGTTTTTTACTTTGCAACAATTGTTACAGTCGTCTTCGGTCATTGTGTGATTTGTGTCGTTAGGTGGGCAAAGCATATAGGCAGCTATAGGGTTGCAATAATCGGGACAATAAACATCATCAGCTTTAACATTAACATCATTCTCCGATATTAAAATACCTGCTATACAAAAGACACATGTGCAATAAACCCATTAAATATTTTTGTTGGTGAGCGAGAATTTCCAAGTGAAAGTTAAAGTTTAAGCATTCCATAGATAAATATAGTTTTTTTAGTACTCCATCTTTCTTTAATATTCTCATTTCCTTTTTAAATGGAGTCTACGTTCAAAAAAGATCATAAATAATATCATCCCATTTTCACCGAAATGATTATAAAGAGAAAATTAAACCTGGCCTCATATTCTATTTAGGGATTCATGTATCATAGGGGATGTTTAAATGGAGATAAATATTAATTTAAATATAGTGATGAAAACAACTCAGTAACTTAGTAAGAGCTTGTCTGAGAATAGCGTTAGCGTTTTGAAAGTAATCTGCACCGTTAAAATTTTATCCAAAATGCATGCTAACGTTAATCTCTAATGATATTTCCAAACAGACTCTAAGAGGATGAATGTACGTACCAAACACAACGAAGAAAGTGAAGAAGCAAATTTTGTTGTATGCTGCCATATTACCAATTTATCAATTGAAATATTGGCTGTTGAAAATTAGTACATGTAATACCAATGAGTTGCATGTCCCTATTTATACATAAAAGAAAGTAAATATCATCTAAACAAATATAGAAACAGTCCTACTACTTGGAATAAATATCCAATAAAAATTAAGTGTTACACCTTTTTTTTTGTGATTGTCTGGCGTTACACACAAAAACGCCAAAAATTGAATGGAGCCAATAAGGAATACTCCGGACTACGTAACATTTTTATTGTAAATTAAATTCAAAAATTTATGTTTATTCACTTTCTAAATAATTCCATTACATATTACAAAAATTTAAATTAACACGTTTCATTTAACTATCTTTCTTAAATAGAAATCTTGCCATACATTATTTACATAGTCAAATAAATTTAACTCACTTTTTATTTATTTTTAGGAAAATTATCTCAAATAATCCCACATTTTCGTGTTCTTTCAAAAATAATCTCACTTTTCACTCTCACCAGAAATAATCTCATCTTTCCGCATGTGTGCGAGTTTTGGGTCCCCGTTAAAAAAACTAACTGTCACTTAACGTAAATTTTAAAAAATGCCCGTTTTCGCAAATAAATGAAAGGTGGGATTATTTTAGGTAAATTCTCCCTTTTTTGTTTTTTAATTTCTAACTTTAAATTTAAATGTATTTTTATTTTATTTTTTTGGAAAAATATACCAAATTTAATTAAGTGTTTTTAGAGTGAAACTAATTCTTTTTTCAATAACCAATAATCTTGTAATAAATATAAAATAAATTATTCTACACAATAGAGCTAATTTATTAACTTCATAACTAACTACATTTTTTGTAAGTTGCATTTACTGTATTTTTCTTGAGCTGCACTTCAAATTATTTTTTGATACTATATTATTATTATTTCTTTAAAAAATGGCACTACAAAACTTATGAGTATTTTATGATAGTTCTATATAAATATTTTTTTGTGAAACAACATTACAATAGTTGTGAAAATAACACAACAATTTTTTCTCTAAAATAGAACTTTTATTTTTATAACTCACTACATTTTCTGATGTATTGCAATTTTTTCATGAACACACTGAAATATTTATTGATAATCTTATATTGCCAATAAAATTTTCTTTCTAAAATGGAACTACCCAATAATTTGTGATTTTTTTTATAATTCAATACAAATTTTTCCCCAAAATAGCAATTCAAAAGTAGTGAAAATGACACAATATTTTTTTCTCCAAAACAGCACCCATAAATTTTATAAATTACTACAATTTTTTTATTGTAATTTCTTTCTTGATCGAAACTCTGAATTATTTTCGATAATTCAATATTATATTTTCCCAAAACGGATAACGAAATTTGTAAATCGTTAGACAAATCTCTAACAAGAGTGTATTGTTATATTTTTAAAAATATTAATTTTAAGTTTAAAATTAAAAAAGTAAAAAGTAAATTTTCCTAAAATAATCTCACCTTTCATTTATTTGCGAAAAACAGACATTTTCTAAAACTTCTGTTAAGTGGCCGTTAGTTTTTTAACGGCGACCCAAAACACGCAAACATGCGAAAAGGTGAAATTATTTCCGGTGACAGTGAAAAGTGAGATTATTTTTGAAAGAGCGCAAAAAGGTGGGATAATTTGAGACAATTTTTCCTTATTTTTACTACTTATTTCATAAAATAATATAGCCTTGTCTTGTCAGTTTTAGTTTTGTAAAAATTTTCATGTACTCCATTTGTCCGTCATAGATCTTCTTAGACACTATTTACATGGTCAAATAAATTTAACTCACTTTTTTACTACTCATTTCATTTAATAATATTGTCTTGTCTTGTCAGCTCTAGTTTTGTAAAAATTTTCAGGTATTCTCTTAGTCCGCCATAGATCTTTTCAGACAGTATTTACATAATCAAATTTAACTCACTTTTCTATTTATTTTTACTACTCATTTCATAAAATAATTTAGTCTTGTCTTGTCAGCTCTAATATGATGTGTATATTAAAAAAACAATTAAAAGAAGAATGCTAAAGAAAGTAGGGAGTAATTAGGAAGCATCACACGGATTGAGATGTTCTTATAAGCCATTTTCCTCTCTAAACATCCTTCTATCAAACCTTATAAGCTAGAGTCTTGGAATATTTGCTCAAAGAAAGCTTAATTTCGATAAAGTTTTATTCAATTCACTATTCACAGGGTCGAACTTCATTCACTTTTTTTCTCTATTTTCGTTAGCAATTTGATAAAATAAAATACTATTGTCACTACTAGTTTTGTAGATCTTTTGATGTAGTATTTTAATATGTAATTCAAAAAAAAACTTGGGTTTGGGAGTTTGAGTTTGTAGGATATGCAAGACGTTGTTGTGAATAAGCCGGGAAATATTATTAATGGTCAAGACCGAAAAATGGCTCTAAAGGTTTTATCCTTAATGGCTTAAACAATTAAAATATGCAAAAGGAAAAAAAGACTAAAGTAAAAGTAGAATATTAAAAATATACCAAAATAGGAGTTCCACGATTTTATTTCCTAAATAAAAGTTAAAATGCATTCACAGTGTCAATCATGACCATATGCATTACCAAAAAGTATTGTGAAATATTCGTATACAATGTCACATTACCACAATGCGAACGCATATTTTGGTGATAAAAATACGGAGCTCCTATTTTGATACTTTCTATATGTTTTATACTCTTATTCAGAGTGATTTTTTATATGCAAATTAATTATATTTAAGTGACAATTAACGTAATATATGTAGTATTCTAACAAAATGAGAAATGACAAAATCATAGTAAAGGGTTTAAAAAAGTAAATGTTAGGTAATGTGTTCTTATATATTACTCTCCAATCTGTATGTAACCCGGCCTTCAAACTAATCTTTAGTTGATTGAAACAAGAAAAAGTGGAAGAAAAATTAATTTTAATATATTAAAGTATAATTAATAAATATTTCTTGATTTTTATTGACGACAATAATTTTTTAGGTTTTTTAAATAAATAATATTTAGGTATAAGTATTCATATTAATTTTTAGATAAAACATACAAAATTTATTTATTTATTTTTTAAACTATTTTTATGAGTTCATAAAATGAGTCTCTAGTGTTTCTTTTTCTAAATAATTGGAAGTTTTATTGAAATCAACATAGGCCCCGTTTGACATCAGCGTTAGCATTTTGAAAAGGCTATTCGACGGTAGCCTTTAGCGTTAGCGTTTTCAGAATTGATCTACACCATTAAAATTTTATCTATAACGCTAACGATAATAAAAAAACGTTGTTCCCAAAAAAGGCAAGAGTCCATATATATCCTATTGCTACCTTACTCAACAACATGTTTAGTAGCTGAAGTGGATAGAGTATCTCCCTAAATAGAACTTAATAATGACTAATGAGAAGAATAATGTCCAAGTTATTCTAGACATTTAGTTGAATAATGACTAATAGATAATGACCGATGGTCCTACATTGGAAAATAAAAACATATGGTACTATATTGAGAAAGTCATTATGTTTTAGTCATATTTAGATAAATTACCCTTTATTATTTCTCATCAATTCATTGCTCATTAATTTAATAAGGCGGTGCATGTGTGTATAAATTACAAAAATGAAGGAAAAGTGACTCATTAACTTTTCAATTACTTCAAGTTCATAAAATCTGAGTATAAATGATATGAAAGATTAACATATAAGAGTGCCATTAGTTTGGAAGAGGTGACATCCCTTGTATTGAGGTTGGTTTTTAACATTGCAACAATTTTTACACACATCCTCGAATAGTGTATCATTAGGTGGGCAACGCATATAGGCAACTATAGGGTTGCAGTAATCAGAGCAATAAATTTCATCAGCATTAACTCGAACACCATTCTCCGATATCAAAATACCTGCTATGCAAAAGTTACATATGTAATAAACCAACACATCAAATATTTCTCTTGACAAGCGAAAATTTATAAATGAAAATTTGAAGTTTTAGCACTCCTTATATGAATAGTTTTTGTAAAGCAAACAATTTTTTTCGTCAAAACGGATTGCAAAAAAATTAAGTGACACTCAAAAAGAAAAGGAGGAAATTAAAAAAGGAGCAGTAGATAATACAATTATTGAATTATATGAAATCATATAAATTCTATGGATTAGTAATTATAAGAAATTTTTGTGTATAAAATTTTATTCTTATTTACGTGGATTTCTTAAATTCTTAACTAATACAAAGTATAAAGAGTAAGCTTTTATAAATAAAAAAATTGTTGACCAAGATAGTATGTTGATGAAAGGGTTTAAGCTACATATCTACATGGATATAAGTTACATGGTCTCTTCTCCTATCATAGGGGATGTATATATAAACATAGATAAATAATAATTTAAATATAGTGATAGAAAACTATGTTAAATATGTAAGAGGTTGAATTTACCTACCAAAGACAACCAATAAAGTGAAAAAGCAAACTTTGTTGTATGCTGCCATATTACCAATTTATCAATTCAATTGGAATAATAATATGGAATTGCTTACGTTGTTGATGGTATGTATACCAATGAGTTGCATGCCCCTATTTATACATAAAAGAAGATAAAAAAAATGGAAACAATTATTATAGAAACAATCCTACAAGGAAAAATATAAAAAAAATAAGTGTTATACCTTTTTCATTACTAGGAGCTTTAATTTTATGATTAACGCCATGCGTAAAATTCATTTACAAAAAAGTAATACAAAGTAACATTTTGTTTAGTTGCTAATATATACAAAAATTAAATTTCCATGTTTCATATAACTACATTTCCTAAGTAGCAGATTAGCAGGTGCCTTGATTAGTAATCGCACTATATTTTTTTGTTAGTCAAATTTTGATGTACACGCACCAAACGTGTGCATGAACTTTGTTATGTACCCTTTCTATCAAAAAGTGTTTGTGCAGTTTTGATTTTTTACGGTTAACTAAAATCAATGTTCGATCTATGATTAAATAAAAATTACACGGCGGAAACTCATATGAAGTTATCTATTTTACGTTTGGGAAATTGTCTATTACGGAGTAAATAATATACCACGCTATTTATTTAGAAAACATTGTGTGGTTTGTAAGGGCTTTATTCACTCTAGGGTGTAAATGGATAACAGAAAATTCAATTAGCGTCTGCATCCATATCCGTTTAGAAGGAAAATATCTATATCCGTTAAAATCGGATTTTATCCGTATTTGATTAAGGAATTCTGATTAGTAAACAGATAATGATTTGGTAATCATACATCTAGTCCGTTTATAATTGGTCACACATAAGTATCCGTTTGAGTAATAGTTTATCTGTATATCTGATCCGTTAAACATGGTTTTTTGCAATTTGTTATGTGTATTGTTTTTTATTAGCACACATCTTTATATATATAAAAATATATTTGTAGACAAATAAAAATATGTCCATATGTCTACTATGTACGTAGTATATGTTTTTATCATATGAAGTTGTCATATAAAAACTTGACTTTAATTAAATTTGAAATAACTATATTATTCAATTTGACTTAAAAAAATAGAAACGGATGTCGACATATCTTATATCCGACCGATATCCGATGGATGCGGATACGGTTTTATATTTTAATATCCATCAAAATTTGTATCCAAAGTTGATATTTCATAAAAATAAAAGGATACGGATTTGGTAATAGCACATTCAATTTGATTAGTATCCGTTTATGTACACCCCTAATTTAAATAAAACTGGATTTAAAGTATCTCGATCAAACCCATCTGACCCGGTGAAACAGGTGACCATAGTCGACCTTGCCTGGTTTTAAGTTTCAAACTAAATATATTTATAACACTACTACAAAAAAAGGTAAAAAGACTGCTCTCAATTGCATCGCATACAAAAATAACCGATGCAAAAGAGCAAAGGCATCGGTTGTTTTTCAAAAGCGATGCAATTGTTTTTTTTAAAATTAAATTTGGAAAAAAGAAATAGGTATTAGCATTGATTATTTTGTAAAATCGATGCAATAGCTCAATGGCATCGGTTATACAAAACAACCGATTCTAATACCTATTTTTAAATTTTTAATATTTTCAAAAATTAATGCAAATGCATGGGTTGTTTACAGGAGCGGATGCTAAAACCAATGCTTAAAAGTTTCGAAATTCTTAAAAATACAAAGGCATCGGTTTTAGTGTATAACCGATTCTATAGTGTTTATGCATCTGTTTTATTCCACAACCGATGCTCAGAAGTCCAGAAGTCCATGTGTAACACAAAACTCTGTATCTCCTTTCCTCTCTGCGGTGTAACCATCCCTGTGCTCGCCAACGATGTAGCCGTCGCCATCCCCGTGCTGGCCTGCGATCTAGCCGTCATCATCCTCGTTCTCGCTAGCGATGTTGTCACCATCGCTAGTGTTGATGTTAAGATCTAACCCTAGCTCTGAATCAGAGAAGTCTTTGTGGATCTTTCTCAATTCCGAGCGTGAAGAGCACCAGGTACTAGGAACCAGACAAAAGGCGATGAAGAGCTTACAGTTCCAATCTATTGGTCAGAACCATCTAAAGCCTTAGAGGTGATTTTCTTCCCCTTTCTTTTTCAATTTCATTCGAAATTTGTTGAAAATTTTGAGTTGTTGAGTGGAATGTGTATACTTGTGAATAGTAAAAAAGGATTTATTTGGCAAGGAAGCCTATATTTGACAGCCTTTAGGGTGTTTAGATCTGATTCACAAGCTGGCAGAGAGGGAGGAGGAGGACGCCACCAGCCGGAAGAAGAAGGTCGTTGCTAAAGCCTCTGGGCGATTGCGCACCCTTCCCGCTTGGAAGCAAGAGGCACTTCTTCACTTAATCCGCTATATACTGCCTATGTACTGAACGATACAGAGGGTCCTAAGGTCCCCTGTGAGTAGAACTGCAGAAACTTCTGTGTTTGTGAGATTGGGCACCGAGAAAGCTTCTGTTGTGACATACTTCATAATAAACTATAGCATTCCCGCCACTTTAAGTGAATGTTTTAATACTCATTATAATTAACTTAATTGCTAATGTAATTTTGAAGCATGCCCATAGTGTATAGTTATGTGCCCACAGTGTATTGTTATGGCTGCTTTGTCACCTGTTGGTGCAACTCAAATTTCTTAATGTATTTTCTGCACTTATAGCTAAGTTTTCTAGGCCTTTTGGTTAGTTTCTTTTGAAGCCACTATATTTGTCACTCTCTAGTGGCTTGCATTTCTTGTATTTAGAAACGAACAAGAGTTTTGGGCTATTTATTTGATGGAAACTTGAAGAATAAAATGTTCTCCTGTTGAAACTTTTTTTTGTTGTCTTAATCTTTGATCTCTTTCTCAATCTAAAAACCTTCATCTATCCTACAAGTAGAAATTGTTTTTTTGAATGTAGAAACATTTTGAGTGTGGTTTTTTTGTTCTATTTAGTGTGTAATGCTTTGTTCTTTAGGTTGTAGAATGTATATTATTATCATCATTGACTTTCTTGGTAACATGAGAAATTTCCTACTTTTATAACACTAACTATTACTGTCTAAATAAAATTAACCCGATTACTATTAAACTTTTTTAAATCTAGGCTTATTATTGATTAAACAAATGTTTACAATGTTGATGACATATTATGGATAAGGGTCGGTTTTCCCTCGAATTGATCTGGGTGTGCATAAATTGAGCGATTGTGACAGAAGATAAAAGAGATATCATTGGTTGTTTTGGACCCTTTCCAAAACAAAAGCTAATTGCTTCTTTTTGTTTGATTTTGATTTATGCAGGAGCTAATGGAAAGACTAGTGAGCAATAGAAGTCGTTGATACCTCACCTCAGGTCTATACTCTCTAACAACTAGGCATGTGACTTTCCCTTAGGAAAAGTGAAAGGAAATAAAAAGCCCTAAACTCAATACCACTAGGCATGTGCGTAAGTGTGTGAATAGACTTTAATTTTTTAATCAATTTACTAATTTATTCTTTTTTTGAGGGGACAACAAGGCGTAGGACTTTAACGCCTTGGGACTGCATACAAGCTTTGATGGGAAATGCTAAATGTACATGCCATCCTATTAATGACTTCTGTTTTTAGTGTTACGGTTACTGCTTCGGTATATTAACAAGAGATTTTTTTGGAGATTTTATTTCTTAAACGTACATCCTTCAGGGATATATAGCACCTATATATAGGTAGATAACAAAGCTTTTTGTTCACTCAAGTGACTCTTAGACTACCTAAGAGATTTAGACTCACTTGATGAAGTGTCCTATACTTCTATACAGGCACTCTTCACAAACACAAGGAGCATGTTTTAACTTGGGAATTGCAAACATTCTCCAACCAACTAAGCAAGTTTAGAAAGCTGCCCGAGCCAACTCCTTGTTAAAGGCCACCAATAAAGAGGGAATGAAGAAGCTAGATGACACCTTGGGGCTTGGGGCGAGATCAGGAGCTAAAGTAAGAAGAGTCCCTTGATCATTTGCTTGAAGCAGCTTTGTAGAGAGTGAACCACAAGGTAGTACCCCAACGTGATAAACTCAAGAACTTGAAGAGTCTTTATTAATTTCATTCAAGAGAAATTTACCTAAATAGGACTAAAACATAATGACTTTCCTAATATAGGACTATATGTTTTTATTTCCCAATGTAGGACCTTTGGTCATTATCAAGTAGTCATTATTCAACTAAATGTCTATCATTACTGGACATTATTCCTTCCACAAAGTCATTATTAAGTCCTATTTATGGAATAAAAAAGTTTAAGTCCTACATTAGGAAAGTCATTATGTTTTAGTCCTATTTAGTGCAAATTTCACTTCATTTAACTGTGGTGCAATTAAATTTTATGGACTAGATGTTTATATCAATTTTAATGTCAGTGAGTACGAAGAAGATCTCCAATAGGTTGAGTTGTTACTGGAATAAACCTGATATTCCATCACATCATTAACATTTTTTTTGAATGCTAAGCAGATGAAGAATTTCAAAAAGGAATAGTTTGTCAATGCCTCTGCCTAGTAAACTAAACATGTTAGGTTAATAAAACCTACTTGTTAAATCTTTTGGAATCACGACAGCCCCACCTCCCATTGATCTAACCACTGACTACAAACACATACATACCATGTGGATTTATCTACTGTATAGCATGCATGTTTTTGTCTAATGCGCACTCTATAAGGGTTTTACATGACTATGAGAGTTTATTGCAGGCAGTGATGGCTAGTGACTTTGCAACTGCACAGTTCTACTTTCTAGAGAGGCTTCTTGTTGTGCATGGTCATTGGTGCTACAAGCGCATTGCTCAAATGGTAATGAGTTTATTTCTGGTGCTTCGTTTTTTAGGATTTTAATACGATTAACGCAATGATATGTTGTTTTAAGAGTGTGACGGTTTATTGACATTCTGCGTGTTGCATTGCAATGCAGTGACGACGAAGCAGAGATGAAGAAATGTGCTCTTCATCTGTTAGTTTTATCACATTCCTGTTACCAGGAATTGTTTCAGCACCATGTACAAGCTAGGGAAGGGTACGTTGGCACCCCATGCTGGTGTTTGAGTCTTGCTGAATCACCATCGCCAGTGAGTTTCTTCGCCCGCTCGTTTCTCGAAACCTGAATCGCAGGTCATATTTCATCTGGGTTCTAGTTCCTAACAAGAAAACCTTTTCTCTTTCTTTATTTGTGTAGATATTAGCCGTTAGTTTTCAGTTGTGGTTTTAATAGTTTGAATTCTTCAATAAAAATTTCAGATTTTTTTGTTTAAAACATGTTCTTGTGTATGCCAGTTTGTCAAATTCAGCATGGGAGTAGTTCTAACCCAAACATATGCATGATAATTGTGAATGAAACCAAGAAGTTCATTTTAAAAGTCTGATTATCCAAAGGTGTTTGATAATTTCTCTCAAAGAATATTTGGCTAAGCGTAATTGATTTGGAGTGCACTTCTATTTGTTTAATTCTGAACCAAATTGTTGTTCTGCAATTGGCGATAGTACAATTGCATCGGTAGTTTCGATGCTAATACTCTTTTATTTAAATTAAAAAAATAGTAAAGGCATCGGTTGGTTAGAAACAACCGATGTGAATACTTTTTTTAAAAATTAATAAAATAGCAAAGGCATCGGTTGTTTAGAAAGAACCGATGCGAATAATTTTTTTTAAAAATTAATAAAATAGCAAAGGCATCAGTTGTTTAGAAACAACCGATGCAAATACTTTTTTTAAAAATTAATAAAATAGCAAAGGCATCGGTTGTTTAGAAACAACCGATGTGAATACTTTTTTTTAAATAATAAAATAGCAAAGGCATCGGCTGTTTAGAAACAACCGATGCAAATACTTTTTTTTTTTAAATTAATAAAATAGCAAAGGCACCGGTTGTTTAGAAACAACCGATGCTAATACTATTTTTTAAAAAAATTAATAAAATACCAAAGGCATCAGTTGTTTCAAAAGCGATGCAATTGAATTAGACCAATTGCATCGCTTGTATTTACATCGGTACAAAACCGATGCTAAAAGGTATAAAACAACCGGTGCCTTTGCCCTTTTATGTACTAGTGTAAGAAAATAAAATTTAGGTTCAAATTTCTAGCCATGGTTGAATTAAAGTTCTAGGTCTCTTAATTAGGGGTGAGTGTGGTACAATATGGTACAGTATTTGATTTTATCGTTGTTGTACCAAATGTTTCAGTTCGATATGAGATATTACATCGTGTCGATCTTGATCCCGGATTATTGATGTTGTATGGTTCAGTTTCGATTTTGGTAAATATTGGTATGAATATATATACGTACCTAGTTTACACTTTGAAATGTAAAAGCTCTTTATTTAAAAAAATCAAGAGTGCATTCAATTAAGGAAAGATAAAATAAGTTGAAAAATGAATAATTAAATGTAAGAAATGAGTATAAAACTTAGTTTAATTTATACTTTGTATTTCACAAACAAAAGAGAGTGAATGATAGCAAAATAGTATTTCAAATGTTAGTTAATTTTTTATATTCATCTACAAAAAATTGAAATTCAAATAAATGATTATTTAAATAAAAGATTATTTGTAATTCTTCTACACTTGCAGGCCCGCCCAATGGGGAGTTCATGGTGTTCTTTTGCACAGGGCCTCCCAATTTAGGGGGCCCATCACTTATATGTTCAATTCATTTAAATGTGTTAACATTTCATTCCTGTTAAAAGATTTGATCTTTTTTGCATTGTTTTTTGTTATTTCAGAGCTAATTGTTTTCTCTTTTTCATTTTGTTACTTAAAAATTAGATCTTTCAGTTATAAAAATTGATTTTGTATAAATAATTAATTGAATTATTAATTTTAATTTTTAGTTTTTTTGTCAAGAAGTGAATTGACTTTTTTTGGAACTTCAATTCATTCTTAAAAAAATGTTTGGTTTATAACAACTATTTCAGTTTTAAAATTCTGATATGTAAGCTGATTTTCAAATCACAAGTAAATCATTTCTTGTAAAAAAAGAATCATTTTTTATTTTGCTTTTTTAATTTTAAATTCCATTCTTCTTACAAGTAAACTTATCATGGGGAACTTTACCTTAGTCTTATTTTTCAAAATTAATTTGAGTCATCCTCTTTTGAACAAATTAAAATTAATTATATTATGTTTAATGAAATAATTAATATTAGGGAGTAGTATTTTTGCTTTATCAAACTATCTAATTTTAACATAAAATTTGGGACCTAAATTATAAAATTGCACAAGGCCTTACAGAATGATTGGGCGGCCCTGTACACTTGAACCAATTTTTAAAATATATTCACCATTTTATGAAGAATATACAATTATTATTATTTTTATAACATATTTGTATATATATTCGGTTTGAGATATTACGGTTATTTTTCAGTACTTTATGGATTCAGTATTTTTCGGTTTGATAATCCCAATTTTTTCAGAAAATTTTAGGATCTCTTTGGTACTTGATCACCCCTACTTTTAATTGCTTTACCTAAGAAGTGTTCCGCTGGTAAGCCCTTGACCAAGAGTCGTTAGTTCAATTCAATGCCCGATCTTGTTTAAGGAAATTACCTAAAAAGGTTTGGCTAGTTAGCCCATTACCCGGGGAGGTTTGCCTTATATATACTACTTCCGTTCCTAAGTATTTGTCTAGTTTTGACTTTTTTCAGTCAATCATTTTCAATCTTTGTCGTTAAATGAATTAGATATATATTGTAAATTAAAAAGATAATATAATATTTGATATAATAAATCTAGTAAACTATTTTTACATTAATATCTGATATCATTTTTATTTAATTTGAGGTCAAAATTTACCAAATTTGTCCGGAAAAGTCAAAAGTGGATAATAATCACGAACGGAGGTAATACTCTAATAGGTCCATTTTTCAATTCATATCCAAACTATGTGGGATAACTCTAAGCCCCCTTCTCCCCTCTTGTGTGGAGATAAGATGGATGCGCGATATTCTTGGTGATCTTGGTGTGTCAATTCTTTGTCCTCCACGTTTATATTGTGACAACTAGTCTGTCTTATACATTAGAGAAATTCTAGTATTTCATGGGTGTGAAATACTTTGAAGTTGATTGTCATACAATTCCTAAATCTATGCAGCGACGAGAGATGTCTACTCGCTATTTTCTTACATGAACTTATACCCTATATTTTTTATTTTTTATTATATTGTTCAAGTTGGGCATTCAATGACATTTACTCGTCAACGAGGGGTAGTGATAGCAAGTATGTATTAGGCCTCATATTAAGCCCAACTTTGTACTTGTGTGTGTGTGTGTGTCTATATATATACACACATACACACACACACCTAATTATAATTAATGTAACAGAAAAGAATTTACGCAAAAGTTTTATATTAATAATAAACGTTTAATTTTGAGAACATAAAATAATAAACTATCTACGGGAAGAGGTTAAGTTTAATAGAGTGCTTCTATTGTGCATCTTGGGTGCATATCATTTTTGTGCACCTTCTCGTAGAAAAAATAAATTTTTTATTTAAAAAATAGATGTGTATTTAAGTAGTAAACACATGCTTATTTTGTTCAAATGTAGGTTAATGGTAGTCCTTAGGTCTACTATAGAATTTGCCAGTTTGATAATCTATTTGCATAGAAAAAAAAGAAATGGTTTAGATTTATGGAGAAAAGAGTATACACAAAAACATCTCAATTATTTTCACAAGTTATTAATCAAGTAGCCCTCTTGTTGTCTGCGCAATCAACACAAACAAAACTCAAGAATTTATGCATCTAAGGTCAAAGATAAATAACCGATGTAACCTACCTAGCTACTTCTACCATAAATGACGGATCTAGGAATTAAAGCTGTTAGGGGATGGAAATATTCTTCTCATTCTCCTTTTTGGTCCGTCCGAAAATATTCTTCTCATTTCCTTTTTAATTATACTTTTTAAGGCTAAATATCAATAATACCCTTCTATTTTATTACAAATCTACTTTTTTAGTACTTTTTTAATAATAAAAGGAGATTTAAACGTTTATAGTATGTGCAATTTTGAAAATTTTGCATTTTTTACTATTCCTTAATAAGCGTGTCAAGTCAACACAGGAAGAATATTTCCGGACGGAGGGAGGACTTCTTTTTAAATAGGGGCACTCTTTTAATTTATGGATTAATTAAACTTTAATTATTTCTCATCAATTCATTTCTCATTAATTTAATAAGGCGGTGCATGTGTGTATAAATTACAAAAATGAAGGAAAAGTGACTCATTAACTTTTCAATTACTTCAAGTTCATAAAATAAAGTATTACATCACTGAGTATAAATGAGAGATTAACATATAAGAGTGCCATTAGCTTGGAAGAGGTGGCACCCCTTGAATTGAGGCAAGTTTTTTACTTTGCAACAATTGTTAGTCTTCGAACAGTGTGTCATTAGGTGGGCAACGCATATAGGCAACTATAGGGTTGCAGTAATCAGGGCAATAAATTTCATCAGCATTTACTCGAACACCATTCTCTGATATCAAAATACCTAATATATAAAAGTTCGTTACATATATAATAAACCAACACATCAAATATTTTGGTTGACAAGCGAAAATTTTGAAATGAAAATTTGAAGTTTTAGCAATTCTTATATGAATAGCTTTTGTAAAGGAGGAAATTAAAAATAGGAGCAGGGGAGTATGTTATTCCTAAAACCAATTATAAACAGTTATGTAGAAAAGTAGATAATACAATTATTTAATTATATGAAATCATATATGGAGTATAATCTATGGATCAGTTGTTATAAGATTTTTTGTGTATAAAATTTTAATCTTATTTACGTGGATTTCTTAAATTCTTAACTAATAAAGAGTATAAAGAGTAAGCGTTTATAAATTAAAAAAAAATTGTGGACGAAGATAGTATGTAGATGAAAGGGTTTAATCTACATGTCTATATGGATATAAGTTACATGGTCTCTTCTCCTATCATAGGGGATGTATAAACATAAATAAATAATAATTTAAATATAGTGATAAAAAATAACTTAAATATAGTGATAGAGAAATATTTTAAATATGTAAGAGGATGAATGTACGTACCAAAGACAACCAAGAAAGTGAAAAGGCAAACTTTGTTGTATGCTTTCATATTACCAATTTATCAATTCAATTGGAATAATAATATGGAATTGCTTAGGTTGTTGATAGTATATGTATGCCAATGAGTTGCATGCCCCTATATATACATGAAAGAAGATAAATACAATTGAAACAAATATAGAAACAATCCTACAAGGAAAAAAATATTGAAAAGAATAAGTGTTATACCTTTTTAATTTTATGATTAACGCCATGCGTAAAATTCATTTACAAAAAAAGTATTTTCTCCGTCCCATAAAACCTTTCTCCTTTCTTTTTTCATCCGTCCCATAAAACACTTTTCATTTCTATTAAAAAGTCACTTTTACCCCTTACTTTTTCACACCCTACCTATCACATCATACCTTTTTACTAATAATCTACCCATCAAATCCTACTTTTATCCATCACATCAAAGGACATTTTTGAAAATTCAATACCAAAATACAGTCCCTTAAATCTTTTCAAAAAGCAAAACATCTCATGTTTAATGGGACGGAGGGAGTAATACGGAGTAACATTTTGTTTAGTTGCTAATACAAAAATTAAATTTCCATGTTTCATATAACTACATTTCCTAAGTAGCAGATTAGCAGGTGCCTTGATTAGTAATCGCACTATATTTTTTTGTTAGTCAAATTTTGATGTACACGCACCAAACGTGTGCATGAACTTTGTTATTTATCCTTTCTATCCAAAAGTGTGTGCATTTTTTATTTAATTTGTTACGGTTATGGGAAATTATCTATTACGGAGTAAATAATATATCCCGGTATTGATTTAGAAAACATTGTGTGGTTCGTAAGGGCTTTATTCACTCTAGGGTGTAAATTTATAATTGAAAATTCAATTACCGTCTGCATCCGTATTCGTTTACAAGGAAAATATCTACATTTGTTAAAATCGGTTATTATTCGTATTCGATTAAGGACTTTTGATTAGTAAACATATAAAGATTTGGTGATCATACATCCAGTCTGTTTTTAATTGGCCTCGCATAAACATCTATTTGAGTAACAGTTTATCTGTATATCTGATCTGTTATACATAGTTTTCCCAATTTTTTATGTGTATATATTGTTTTTTATAAGCATCTCAATTTATAACTTACACATCTTTATATATAAAAAATTATAGAAATATTTACACTAAATAGAACTAAAACTTAAGTCATTTCTCTAAATAGCACTTGAAATGTTTTATTCCGTAAATAGCACTTCATAATGTCCATAATGTCTAATGATGACGAATATTTACTTGAATAATGACTAATATACAATGACTAAAAGTGCTAAATTGGGAATAAAAACACATGTGATGCTATTCAGGGAAAGTCATTATGTTTTGATGTTATTTAAGTAAATTCTTCAAAATTATATCTATAGACAAATAAAAATATGTCTATATATGTATACCATGCATATCTTTTTATTATATGGAGACTGGAGTTGTCATATAATAATATAGATTACAAATAAATAAGATCAATATTAGTCCGTAATAAATTACAATTGAATGAATAGAAACTCGACTTTAATTTAAGTTGAAATTATTATATTATTCAGTTTGACTTTAAAAATTAGAAACAGATGCCGACATATCCGATATTTGACTAATATCCGATGAATACAGAAACATATTTAATCTTTAGTAGCCGTCAAAACCCATATCCCTATATTATATTTGATAAAAATAAATGGATACAGAATTGGTCATAGCACATTCGATATGATTAGTATCCGTTTACGTACTCCCTAATTTAAATAAAACGGTATTTAAAGTAGCCCGATCAAACCTATCTGACTCGGTGAAACGGGTGGCCCTAGTCGACCTCGCCTGGTTGCAAGTTTCAAACTAAATAAATTTATAAGAAAATAAACTTTAGATTTAAATTTCTAGCCCTAGCTAAATTAATGTTCTAGGTCTTTTAATTAGGGGTGGGCGTGGTACAGTATGGTATGCCATTTGGTTTTACCGATATCCTACCAAATGTTTTAGTTCGATATTAGATTTTACATTGTACCGATCATGATCCCGAAGTATCGATTCAGTATGGTTCAGGATGGTTCAGTTTCGGTAAATATTGGGATTAATATATATATATATACGTACCTATTTTACACTTTGAAATGTATAAAACACTTTATTTAAAAAAATTAAAAGTACATTCAAATAAAGAAAGATAAAAAAATTGAAAATTAAAATGTAAGAAATGCTTATAAAACGTAGTTTAATTTATACTTCGTATTTTACAAACAAAAGAGAGTGAATGATAACAAATTACCATTTCAAATGTCTGCTAATTTTTTTATATTTATCTACAAAAAATTAAAATTCAAATAAATGATATTTAAATTAAAGATTATTTTTAATTCATCTACACTTGAACCAACTTTTCAAAATCAATTCATTATTTTATGAAGAAATATAAAAATATTACTCCCTCCGTCCCTCATAGATTTTCTCAATAGCCCTTTTTTTTGTCCACAATAGATCTTCTTATTTCATTTTCTAACAATTAAAATACCACAAATACCCCCACTTACTATATTTATTACACCTCACCCACCTCATTTAATCCACTCCGCCCATTTTCATTAAGGGTATTATGGTAAACTTTCACCTTTTTTCAACTCTCCTTAAAAACCACCAAAAGTCAAAATGAGAACATTTTAAGGGGGACGGAGGGAGTATTACTTTTATAACATATATTTGTATATATGTTCGGTTCAAGATATTTTGGTATGAGAAGTAGTTACCTCGTACCGATCACTAGTACCAGACCGACTATTTGGTTCAGTACGATTCGATTCTTTTTTGGTGTTTTATCGGTTCAGTTTTTGTTCGAAAATCCCAATTTTTTCAGGAAATTTTGGAATCAGTTCGGTACTTGCTCACCCCTACTTTTAATTGCTTCGCACCCAAGAAGTGTTTGGCTGGTAAGCCCTTGACCAAGAGTCGCTTGTTCAATTCAATTCCCGGTCTTATTTTAAGAAAATTACCTAAAAAGGGTTGGCTAGTTAGCCCATTACCGGGTGAGGTGGTTTACCTTATATATACTACATCCGTCTCTGAGTATTTTTCCAGCTTTGAATTTATTCAATCAATTTTTTTCAATATTTGACCTTTAATTGAATTAAATATATATTGTATATTAATAAGATAATTTAATATTTTGAAAATATTTGATATAATAAATCCAATAAATTATTTTTGTATCAATATCTAATATAATTTTTAATTAATTTAAGGTCAAAATTTATCAAATTTGACCGAAAAAATCAAAAGCATATAAATACTCAGGAATATAGGAAATTTTTATTAATAGGTGCATTTGTTCAATTCATATTCATGGGATAACTCTAANGAGATTAGATGGATGCGCCATATTCTGGGTGCTCTTGCCGAGTCAATTCTTTATCCTCCACGTTTATATTGTGACAACTACTTTGTTTTATGGATTATGCTATGTGTACCCCAAGGTTTGTACCCCAATTTGTACCCCACAGTTTTGCACCAACACTTTGTGTTGGTGTAAAACTAATTTTTGTTAAACGCACCAACATTTGTGTCCGTGTGAATTTTTATTAACGCACCAACACTTGTGTCGGTGTAAACCATCGAAATGTTTGTGCAAACCTGTGGTGTACAAATGGGGTATATTTTTTGGTGTAAGTGTAGCATGGTCCTTGCTTTATACATTAAAGAAATTCTAGTATTTCATGAGGGTGAAATATATTGATGTTGATTGTCATACAGTTCCTAAATCTATGTAGCAACACAAGATGTCTACGTGCAGTGTTTTTACATGAACCTATATTTTTGATTTTTTATTGTCCAAGTTAGGCAATCATGGCATTCATGCGTCAACTTGAGGGGTAGTGATAGCAGGTACGTATTAGGTCTCATATTAAGCCCACCTTTGTTCATATATATATATATATATATATATATATATATATATATATATATATATATATATATATATATATATATATATATATATATAGGGAATAAGCTTAAGTTTAATAAAGTGCTTCTATGGTGCACTTTGAGTGCATATTATTTATGTGCACCTTCTCAATAAAAAAATAATTTTTTATTTAAAAAATAGATGGTTATTTAAGTAGTAAGAAAATATTTAGTTTTTGTTCAAATGTAGGTCCATGGTAGACTTTAGGTCCATCATAGAATTTGCCAGTTTAATAATCTATTTGCATAAATGTCAATGCATAGAACAAAAGAAATGATTTAGATTTATAGAGAGGAGTATATATACACAGAAACATTGCAATTATTTTCACAAGTTAATAATCAAATAGCCCTCTTGTTGTGTGAGAAATCAACACAAACAAAACTCAAAATCCATGCATCTAAGGTCAAAGATAAATAACCGATGTTACTTCTACCATCAATGACAGATTTAGGAAAAGAAATTGTTGGGAGATGAATTAATTATTTCTCATCAATTCATTGCTCATTAATTTAATAAGGCCGGTGCATGTGTGTATAAATTACAAAAATGAAGGGAAAGTGAATCATTACTTTTCAATTACTTCAAGTTCATAGAATAAAGTATTACATCACTGAGTATAAATGAGAGATTAACATATAATAGTGCCATTAGCTTGAAAGAGGTGACATCCCTTGTATTGAGGCTGGTTTTTAACATTGCAACAATTTTTACAGACGTCCTCGAACAGTGTGTCATTAGGTGGGCAACGCATATTGGCAATAAATTTCATCAGCATTAACTCGAACACCATTCTCTGATATCAAAATACCTGATATACAAAAGTTACATATGCAATAAACCAACGCATCAAATATTTTTGTTGACAAGCGAAAATTTCGAAATGAAAATTTGAAGTTTTAGCACTCCTTATATGAATAATTTTTGTAAAGGAGGAAATTAAAAAAGGGCCAGGGGAGTACGTTATTCCTAAAACCAATTATAAACGGTTATATAGAAAAGTAGATAATACAATTATTGAATTATATGAAATCATATACTCCCTCCGTTCCACAAAATTCTTGTTCTTTCGTTTTTTTTGCTTTCCACAAAATACTTCCACTTACTATTAAAAACCCACTTTTACCCTTACTTTTTCATACCCTACCTATCACATCATACTTTATCACTAATAACCAAACTATCACATCTTACTTTTTCGCATCACATCAAGGGCAAAATTGGAAAGTCAACCAAAATTACACTTTCCTTATTTTTTCCCAAAGTCAAAACCAGAAGGGTTTTGTGGAACGGAGGGAGTATATTCTATGCATCAGTTGTTATAAGAACTTTTGCGTATAAAATTTTAATCTTATTTACGTGGATTTCTTAAATTCTTAACTGCTAAAGAGTAAGCTTTTATAAATAAAAAAATTGTGGACGAAGATAGTATGTAGATGATAGGGTTTAAGCTACATATCTACATGGATATAAGTTACATGGTCTCTTCTCCTATGGAGATGTATATATAAACATAGATAAATAATAATTTAAATATAGTGATAGAAAAATAATTTAAATATGTAAGAGGATGAATTTACGTACCAAAGACAACCAAGAAAAAGTGAAAAAGCAAACTTTGTTGTATGCTTCCATATTACCAATTTATCAATTCAATTGAAATAATAATATGGAATACCTTACGTTGTTGATAGTATATGTATCCCAATGAGTTGCATGCCCCTATTTATACATGAAAGAAGACAAATGAAACAAATATAGATGAAAGAAGACAATTGAAACAAATATAGAAACAATCCAACAAGGAAATTTTTTTGAAAAGAATAAGTGTTATACTCCCTCCGTCCCGTGAAACATTTCACCTTTCTTTTTTTATCCGTCCCACAAAACACTTCTCATTTCTATTAAAAAGTCACTTTTACCCCTTACTTTTTCATACCCTAACTATCACATCATACCTTTTTACTAATAATCTATCCATAAAATCATACTTTTACCCATCACATCAAAGGACATTTTTGGAAATTCAATACCAAAATACACTCTCTTAAATCCCTCCTAAAAAGCAAATGTCCCATGTTTCACGGGACGGAGGGAGTACCTTTTTTATTATGCGGAATAACATTTTGTTTAGTTGCTAATACTTCCTCCGTCCCAGAAAACCTTTCTTCTTTCTTTTTTCATCCATCCCAAAAAACACTTCTAATTTCTATTAAAAAGTCACTTTTACTCCTTATTTTTTCATACCCTACCTATCGCATCATATCTTTTTACTAATAATCTATCCATCAAATCATACTTTTATCCATCACATCAAAGAACATTTTTGGAAATTCAATACCAAAATACACTCCCCTTAAATCCCTCTCCAAAACCAAAACTCCCATGTTTTCCGGGACGGAGGGAGTACAAAAATTAAATTTCCATGTTTCATATAATTATATTTCCTAAGTAGCAAATTATTACGGAATACTTATATTATTTTGTTAGTCAAATTTTGATGTACACGCACCAAACGTGTGCATGAACTTTGTTATCTACCCTTTCTATCCAAAACTGTTTGTGGAGTTTTAATTTTTTTACGGTTAATTAAAATTAATATTCGATCAATGATTAAATAAAAATTACATGGCGGAAACTCATGAAATTATCTAGTTTACGTTTTAGAAATTATCTATTACAGAGTAAATAATATACCCCGGTTTTTATTTAGAAAACATTGTGTGGTTTGTAAATTGTAAGGGCTTTATTCACTCTAAGCTGTGAATGGATAACCAAAACTTTAATTGCCGTCTGCATTCGTATCCACTTACACGGAAAATATCTACATCCGTTAAAATAGGATATTATCCGTATTTGATTAAGGACTTCTGATTAGTAAAAAGATAAGGATTTGGTAATCATATATCTAGTCCGTTTATAATCGGCTCCGCATAAACATTCATTTAAGTAACAATTTATTTGTATATCTGATCCGTTATACATAGTTTTTCCAATTGTTTATGTGCATATATTGTTCTTTATTAGCATCTCAATGTATAATACATCTTTATATTTAAAATATATATATTTGTAGACAATTAAAAATATGTCTATATGTATACTATGTATATCTTTTTATCATATGAAGTTATCATATAATAGTATAGATTACAAAAAATAAGATAAATATTAGTCTGTAATAAAGAAAAATTGATTGAATAAAAACTTGACTTTAATTTAAAATTATTATATTGTTCAATTTGACTTAAAAAATTAGAAATGGATGCCAACATATCCTATTTTTGACCGATATCCGATGGATGTGGAGACAATTTTAATTTCTAGTATCCGCCAAATTGCGTATCCAAATTTGATATCTAATAAAAATAAATGGATACAGATTTGGTAATAGCATATTCGATCTGATTAGTATCCGTTTAGGTACACCCCTAATTTAAATAAAACTGGATTGAAAGTAACCCGAATAAACTTATCTGATGCCATGAAATATATTGATGTTGATTGTCTTATGCTTCCTAAATCTATGCAGCGACGCAAGATGTCTACTCGCTATGTTCTTACATGAACCTATACTTTTGATTTTTTATTGTCCAAGTTAGGCATTAATGACATTCATGCGTCAACTTGAGAGGTAGTGATAGCAGGTACATATTAGGTCTCATATTAAGCCCACCTCTGTGTGTGTGTGTATGTATATACACACACACATACATATATAGATACACACACACACACATATATATATCGTGGAGTTTGTGGGACAAGAAAAAAATAAAGGAGAAGAAGTTTTTTGGGACAGATGGAGTATATTTTTAATAAATAAAATATTCTAAATATATTCTTAAATTGGTGAGATTTTAATAGGAAAAGCTAGTTCTCTTTCGAGCAAAGTAAAAAATAAGAACATATATATGCATTTTCATTATGTCTCAACTTTTTCATTAAAAATAAGAAAGTACTCCCTCCGTCCCATAAAACATTTCCTGTTTCAAAAAAGGAGCGCCCTTAAAATGAATAATTTTGGTGTTATTTTCTAATTTTGCCCTTACTTTATAAAAGAGTAAGATGAGATGTGTAGAATAGATTAGTCTTAATTAAAAAATATCACTAAAATTACTCATTTTAAAGATGTGTCATTTTTGAAACAGGAAATGTTTTATAGGACGGAGGGAGTATATATTTTGTGTTTTTTAAAGAGTAAGGTCGTAGTAATAAACTCTATGAACTATATACTCTTTTTCTTAAAATTAAGTAAAATACAATTGGAGTAAAAAGAGAAAAAATTGAGATGTACGGAGTATGTGTGTGTGCCTCTATAAATGTGTATGCATATGATTTTTTTACTGACGCTTTAAGTCGCACCCGACCTCATCATATTTTGATTTTTGACGCATTCATGAATATAAATTTACTCTTATCAACTTTTAAATATAAATTTTATTCATGTAATTGAAGGGAAAAAAAACATTAAAACAAAACATACAACCCAGCCAATTGGGTTCTTTATGACTAAGCACTTATTTAGTTAGATAATAATACGAGTAATATAAATAAACAAATAAAAGAGAAAGAAGGACTAATTAATTACGATCGAGTAATTAACTCCTATCGGCTGCAGACTTGGCGTTGGCGGAGTGGAGGGTGGTGGGGTTGGCGGGTCCTCCGGCGGCGCCGAAGGTGTTCTTGACGGCATCCGCCGCGCCTTGAGCCACGTTGGCGGCGCCGGTGGCGGCGCCCCTCGCAATGTTCACCGCACCTGAAATTGCTCCCTTCCCAATGTCCGCTGCCCCTTGAGCCATCGTCTTCACGTTCTCCCCTGTCTGCATTTAAACCAATAAAACAATCCATCAATTCAAGAAAACTCATAATAGATTTCACGACACTCCGGTGTCACTGTCATTTTAGGGCACTTCGGGTACCCTGTTCGTAAAAATTAACGGTTCCTACTCCCTGATCCACCCCCTAAACCCCCCGCCCCTGCACACCACCCTCACCCCGCCGTAAGCCCCCACAAAATGTGTGACATTTTGTGGGGGGCTTACGTCGGGGTTGGGGTGGGGTTGCAGGGGCGGGCGTAGGGTAAGGGGTTTAAGAGGTGGGTTAAGAGGGGCATGAACCGTCAACAATTTTACGAATAGAGCACCGGAAGTGCTCCAAAATGACAGTGGCACCGCTAGTGTCATCGAATTGTATAATACTCCTTTGTGTTCTTTCTTGTCTTACAAACAATTTCTCTTTTCTATTAAAAATCTACTTTTGCCCCTACAAAATTTTACCATACCAATCACATCATATTTTTTTAACTAATAATCTATTCATCACATCAAGGATATTTTTGGAAAGTCAACACAAAAGTATCTCTCCCTTAAATTTTTAAAAAGTCAATGATAGAAGAACTTTAAGGGACGGAGGGAGTATTACTTATACTTCCTCGGTTCCATAAAGATATTCCCGTTTTGACTTTTTGAAAAATTTAAAAGAGAGATAATTTTGTGTTAACTTTTTAAAAATACTCTGTATGTGATGATAAAAGTAAGATATGATGAGTAAATTATTAGTAAAAAATGTATGATGTGATGGGTAATAATGAGTTGGTTTTTTTGAAATGCTTCAAATCTCTAAGATTTATTTGTTTTATTTTTATGATATGGAAAAAAGACAATGGTCAAAACAGTGATGCATGTACGTGAAGGAACATGTTACAATAAATTTGTAAAACAGGAGATCAATAAAAAAAACATGAGTTTTTAGTTGAGATGATTTTTTGATGGTATATAATTAAGAATTGATATGAAAGAGAAAAAATAATCATAATCATATCTTAGTTACCTCTTGAAGGAAATTGGTCTGGCCTGCAGCATGGACGTTGGATGGTTGGTCCACGAGGCTATTGTTCGCTTCTCTTCTCATCTTCAATTATATATGTTTCACAAACAAATTAATTAAAGTTTAATATATAGCGAGCCCAAAATAAAATTAATTAAAATTCAAAAATTAAAATACTCCCACCATTTTTAGATAAATTCTACAATTATTCCAGACATATTTTTTATATTTATCAGTTTCTAAAATACCCCGGAGTAATATAATATGCATGTGTTAATTGAAGTCTCGTTTAATTTCTTCCCAAAAAAATTCATTTTTGAAACTCAAACTCTTCCAATCATTAAAGATATTGTAATACATGCGGTTCGCACTGCCATTCATAGCACCCATTAACAGCCAATCTAACAAGGGTGTGTGCAAAATAAATATTGAACAATTGCATTAATATGAATTTCGTTTGACATCAGCGCTAGAGGTTAGCATTTGTTATCTAATGGTAGTCTTCAGTGTTAGCGTGTTCAAAATTAATCTATACAGTTATTTTTTTTTTATTTAAGACGGTACCGCTTATCGAAAATGTTATTTTCAAACAAGACCATGATGTACCTGAGCCTGGCCGGGAGCCTGGAGGGAATTGTTTTGGCTTGCCATTTATCCAAAATTTCTTAATAAGTTAACAATATATATATATATGTATATATTTGAAGATATATTTATAATGTGATGATCAAAAGATGAACTTATTAAAGCTTTTATTTTTCATATGGGAAATAATAGAGTGACATATATATATCCGCATATGTATAGTATAACCCCAAATATTTGCCGCAATGCAATGGTGTGTTCACACGTGGCAAATAGAGGAAATCACTAGATCCGCAACAAAAGGTGTTTCAATGTTTACAAACGGAAACAAGTAGTCTTCCGTCTCTAAATATTTGTCATACTTATATATTCGAAGTAAAATATTAAGTTTTTTCAATTCATTTTATTTATATATTGGTATAGAAATAAAAAAAATTTACATATAAAAGAAGTACATGAAAAGTTATTCGAAATAAGAGCTGTCAAAAATATTTTATTTTATCGAATAACCAATAAAAACGTAGAAATAAACAAAAGTTTCCGAGATTGCTGAAAAAGCAAATGTTGCAAATATTTAGGGACAGATGGAGTAAAAAAACAAAGAGAGGCTAGTAGCTTATTTGATCTTGATCTTCAATATTCATTTCTTTTTTATTTGGTAAACATTTAGGGACGGAGGAAGTATATCTTACGGAGTATTTAATATTCAATTAACTTCTCATTTTATTTTTCATGGTACTCAATGCAACACTTTAACTATTAATATCTAAAATTAAATTATTTCAAAACTATGTTTCAAAATAAATTCATTAGTACTCCCTCCGTCCCATAAAATCTTTCTCCTTTCTTTTTTCATCCGTCCCATAAAACACTTCTCATTTCTATTAAAAAGTTACTTTTACCCCTTACTTTTTCATACCCTACCTATCACATCATACTTTTTTACTCATAATCTACCCATCAAAGCCTACTTTTACACATCACATCAAAGGACATTTTTGGAAATTTAATACCAAAATACACTTCCTTAAATCTCTTAAAAAAGCAAAATATCCCATGTTTCATGGGATGGAGGGAGTATTAAATTTATATAAAATTGAATGTATTTATTCTGTGATATGTGGTCAAAAAAATTTGACTAGAAAAATTAAATTGGAAAGTTAATTTTAAGAGAAAAGGGCTCCCTTCGTCCCAAATTATTTCTTGTAGTTAGAATTTTATTATAACTTTAACTATAAATTGTAAGAAAAATATATTTGTATTTAATTATAGGATGTTGCTAAATTTACTCTTTCTTTTGCTAAATTCGGACATTTGTCATAAATGAGGTCATTTAGCAAAAAGAAAAGTAGATTTAGCAACACCCTTAATTAATTTAATATAATTGGGTTGGTTTTAAGACATAGTTTTGTACATCAAATTTTTATAACACTTATTAAGTTTCTAGAAAACTTTTGATAACTCATGTGTTTTCATTTAGAAAACAAGGTCAAATAATTTGGGGCGAGAGGAGTATGTGATAAAATAGAATTGTGTTATTATAGTCTTTAAGTCGCATGTAAAATGTAAAGCAATGGGCTCATACTTCATTGGATCTTCTTAATTTTACAAGGCACATAACATAAAATTTGCATGGACCTAACAACGTAACTTGCAACAAGAATTTTTATTATGGACGGAGAGAGTACTTTTTTATTTGCAGTTGTGAGACAAATGCCTAACACGCTATTATGAATAATATGGATAATAAGAAGTATAATATTATTAATTACTTTTCTTATTCTATTGTTAAGTATCATAATTACTTATTCTACTATGATTATAATTTCTCTAAGTATCTATTCTCCACAAACACAAATTCACACACCCACACACACACACACATACACATATAAGTATCTATTCTCCACTTTTCTTATTCTATTGTTAAGTATCGTCCCAAATTTATCCCACTCTCTCTCCAAAACAAATATTTGTGCGTGATCGAAAAACTAGAAAGGTACATTTGTCTGCGTTTTACTTTTAGAGCTCGAGAGCATGGAAAGTGATCGAGAAGCATACAACGGCCCACAAGGAGAAAAAAGGAAGAAACTATGTGCCCTCGCTCCAATGGCCAATACTTTCATCTGAAAAACTCAGCCAGCATGCTCTCAACCAATCCCACCTTAAAATATTTGAAATTGAACTGGGAAAAAAGTTCAAATCCAATCATCTTAATTTAAATAAAATCAAATTAAACCGGGTCAAATTTGTATATACTAAAATTTGAACCAAACCAGATGCGTTGCGATCCTAGCTAAATAATCTCTTCGTCTCGAATTAATCGTTTTCAGTATGTTCGAAATCAAACATCTCACTTCTTTACCTTTCTAATAACGTAATGAATAATAACATGTCCATAATCTTTCTCTTTTCTCTACTAAATAAACTTTAATAATTTAGTTTTAACTTTTCTCAAATTTCGTAAAATAAAACTGAGATGATTATTTAAGAACAATCCAAGAATGGCTTAATGGAATGCACCGCCAAGGGGACAGAATTATGGATAGAATGGTGAAGGGGTCACCGGGAAACCTGGCGATAGCACGTGTCCATGACACGCATCACATGCGAGGACACGTGGCAACTCCATGTCAATCCTCTCATACTATAAAAGGAAATAACCTAAAATCAAAAACACTTCACAACTATTTAAAATTTGTCTCCTCACTATTATATATATTTCGAACAAAACAAACAGAACCTTATAAGTCGGTAGTTCATCTTCTTAATTTGGCAAGTCTGTAAAGTTGCAAAAATGGCTTCCCAAGAGCATAGCTACAGAGTTGGTGAAACCAAGGGCCGTACTGAGGTATTTATATGCTCCCTATATATATATATATATATATATATATATATATATATATATATATATATATATATATATATATATATATATATATATTATACGGAGCATTTCTAAATAAATAATTTTAGTATTTTGTGTTATCGGCTCGTTACTTTTGACGTTAGATGTTCGTTGGTATCAAATCATCGTATGACATCGAGATATTTAATTTGGACATTTTGGAATCATACTATGACATCGATCGAGATATTTCTTGCAAATTCTATCCCCCTAACACAATTGATTCCAGAATTTTTTTAAATTTTTTTTATTATATTTAAGTAATTTAACCCACAAAATTAGTACTTCTCCAAAATATATAATGTTCTCATTTAAGTTTTTAGGGAAAAAATGAAAAAATATTGAGAATAAAATTCGAAAAGAATATACTCCCTCCGTTCCACAAAACCCTTCCAGTTTTGACTTTGGGGAAAAATAAGGAAAGTGTAATTTTGGTTGACTTTCCAATTTTGCTCCTGATGTGATGGGAAAAAGTAAGATGTAATAGTTTGGTTATTAGTAAAAAAGTATGATGTGATAGGTAGGGTATGAAAAAGTAGGGTAAAAGTGGTTTTTTAATAGAAAGTGGAAGTGTTTTGTGGAAAGCAAAAAACACGAAAGAGGAAGAGTTTCGTGGAACGGAGGGAGTAATAAATTTGATCTCATTTGATTTGTCTTCAATTGAAATTTCGAAAAATTTTTCTTATAAAAATTGATCTATAAATATAGATATTAGTTGGATGGAGGAGCACCTATCGAGGTATATTTTTGTTTAAAGCGTCACACTCGATAGAAGATAATCTGATTCGGAAAATCAAATGAGAAAATAATTTTCGAACGGAAGTACTTTTTTAGTAAATGGACCAACGTCAATGTCAATTTGTATTGGATCTTAATCCAAATGATTTCATCCTTCCTTGTACAGGAGAAGACGGGACAAGCGGTGGAAGAAGTGAAGGAGAAGGTGCAGGCGGCGAAGGACAAGGCGTCAAGCATGGCGGGGAGCAGGGCCGGAAAGACCTCCGAGGCGGCGCACGGCGCGAAAGACAAGAGCGCCGGAATGGCGCAGACGGCGAAGGAGAAGGCGGAGAAAGCGGCGGAGGCGACGAGGGAGAAGGCGGGGGAGATGACGGAGTCGGCAAAGGAGTCGGCGGAGGCCGGCAAGGAGAAGACCGGCGGGGTGCTGCAGAAGACGGGGGAGAGTGTTCGGAACGTGGCGCAGGGGGCGACGGACGCCGTGAAGCATGCGTTTGGGATGGCGGAGGAGGATAAAGCCGGCGACGCCCGCCGCCGGGATTAGGAGGAATTTTAATTAAGTTGTTTGTGTAATTTGTTCTAGCTGTTGTCATTATCTTGCAAAATAATCTCTTTCCTTTCAATAATAACAATAATAATAATAATAATTCGAATAATATACTCCCTTTTTTGTTTTTTCTTTGTCTCTAAATAAACTTCTCTTTTCTCTTAAAAAAAAACCTTTTTTACCCCTTATTTTTTCATACCCTACCTATCACATCATACCTTTTTATTAATAATCTACCTATTACATCTTACTTTAACATATCACATCAAGGGTATTTTTGGAAAGTTAACACTAAAATATTCCTACCTGAAATTCTCATAAAATCAAAAATGGAATTTTATTTAGGAACGAAGGGGATATTAATTATTCGAATTATGGGATTGTAATGGAATGATAGTCATGTACTCATATACTTTGCCCCCTTTTTATAAACCTTTTGAAAGTAAAAGTTGTGTTACATTTGAATTAGCAGATATTCCCTTCGCCCTATTTGATTATAATTTCTTTTTTTATTTTATTTCTATTTTGATTATAATTTCCTTTTCAATTTATTTTATTTGAAAATTGAGACACAAATAAAAAATAAAATTTAAATATTTAATAATTATATCAAAAATTGTGACAAAAATATTAGATTTTAATAAATAAATAATTAATGAAGAAAAAAAAATAAAAATTTGCAATTTTAATTACATCAAGATTTAAAATAAGAGGTAGATTTTATTAATTAAATAATTAATGAAAACGCACAAATAAACAAAAATATATCGTAATTTTGAAATAGTAAATATTGTAATGAGGGAGAAGTGTGATTGTTCTCAAAAAAATTGATAAAAAAATTTGGTCAAATCTTCAAAATTTCAGATATCATTGGTAAAAATAAAATTTACACTAAATAAGACTAAAACATAAGTCATTTTTCAATGTAAGACATAAAGTTTTTTATTCTCTTAATAGGACTTAATAATGTCTAGTGAGGAAATAATGCCCAGTAATGGTGGACATTTACTTGAATAATGACTAATGAATAATGACCAATTGTCTTACACTTGGGAAATAAAAATATATGATCCTATACTGCTATTTAGGTAAATTATCTTTGGTAAAACTTCTTATCAAATTTTAGCATAAATGTTTCATTATTGGGCCGGCCCAAGAAAATATGATGTCTCATGCGATTGTGAATTTTTGGGCTCCTCATATCGGTTTTTGTAACCAATTTGACGCTCATGACTTTCAAGGAAAGTGTTTGAGAGTAAACAGTGCATGGGCATAATTTGTAAGCACCAAAGTTCAAGTCACATTGGACATCAATGTTATGAGATGACCTGGGGACGCTCTGGTGTCCCCTTCGTAAAATTGACGGTTCCTACCCCCCGGTAAACCCTCCATACCCGGCCCCGACCCGAACACACACCTCCACTCATTTAATTGCACCCCACAAGTTGATTTTGATTTTGGAGTCAAAATTTGACTCCAAAGTCAAAATCAACTTGTGAGGTGCAATTGAATGTGGTGAGGATTGTGTTCAGGTCCAGACCGGGTAGAGGGATTTACCAGGGGGTTAGGGAAGGTAGAAATCGTTAATTTTACGAATGGAAGACCGGAGCGCCCGCGGGTCATCCCAGGACATTGAGGTCCAATGTCACTTAGAACCTTGGTGCTTACAAATTATACCCATGCACTGTTTACTCTCAAACACTTTCCTTAACACTATGTTTGGTTCAAGGAATTTGGAAGAAAAAGAAAAGAAAATGGTTTTCTCTCACCAAAATGGGAGGAATTTGATTTTCCCTTCTCTTAATATATTTTGTCTTCTCATTTCATTTTCCTTCCACTTTTCTTTTCTTTTCCTCTGTATCCAAACAAGAAATGCTATTTTCCATCTCATTTTCTTTTCTTTTCCATTTCAAAATCCTTGAACCAAACATAGTGTAAAAGTCATGAGCGTCAAATTGGTTACAAAAACCGAAATGAGGAGCCCAAAAATTCAAAACACAAGATTAAAAAATAAACACAATACCTTGTCCCAATATCAAAAAGCGGAGTAAATTCAAATCCAATGTGAGTAATTTGTGTAAAGTGAATTCAAAGGAGATACTTGTAATTTATATATACTATGTAAATAAGACACCATAAACCACATGATACGTAGAATATAAAGATAAAACCGATGCATTACATGATGAGAGAGGAAGTACTGAATTACACTACCAAAAAAAATTCATAATGTATTGCCTAGAACAAAGATAGGAAGAACACATACCACATTTTTATTTTTAAACTAGTAGTAGTGATAATAATAATAATTATAATAATAATAATTATAATAATAATATTAATAACGAAATTCAATTACACTCATCACTAGAGCAAGCATCCAAACACCCCCTACCCCCTTAGCAACAACTATATATAGAGTGTATGTAGCCTCTTCACTACTTTGTTTTTCTCTTTATTTCTTATGCCACACCACCCCATTCTTCAACTACTCTATGATCATCATTGAGTGAAAGGATTTCACTGTCGCGAACCTTCGAGCCCGAGCCATGCGCTCAACCAAAGACACACCTCGTCCATCTCCCTTGGAACCGTGTAATGCCCGAGCCTGAAAAATCACTCGTCATTTTTCTAATGCTCCGTTATAAAAAAGATCGAAACTCCCTCCGAGTCCTAGTTCATCAAGGGAAGATATAAACATTGTTCACACTATATTTAACACTTAACAAATGGAACTCTTTTAGAACAACTTATTGGAGAAATGATGTAAAAATCAATATAAAATGCACCATAGTTTTATTTGACATTGGGTTCATTTCAGGCACCTTCTATTGTTTGGTTTGAACCCAAAGTGGTTTCTACCCCCCTAAAACCCCTCCTAACTTGCCACACCCCCACCCACCCACCCAGCTCCCCTAGCCCCTCCACTTTTAGGGTGACAATCCACTATCAGTGGATTGTCACATAAAGGGAAGGAGATTAGGTATTAAAATCATTTCAGGGTCGAGCGGATCACTGTAGGGGCCTCAAATGGACCTAATGTGATATTATGATATTGGAAGCTAATGTCAAAAGAACCTCCTCGTATAAAACGATCTTTTTAAATAGGGCTAGTTTTTTAAGACAAAAATAAAGCTTTTTCCTTTTGGGGGGGGGGGGGGTGAGGACACGAAGGGGTATTAAAAATTGAAGAGATTTTTGTGAATGTATATCATTCTCAAGACAAATTAAATGATACCCTTCATATGTTTTGAGTGAGAGGTTCCAAAATCCAGCTGAGATCAAGACATTGCTAGACCTCTCTCCATATATGCTAGGAACCACTTCATCCCCTACAAAAAGATTTGTTTGAAGCTCAAAATGAACTTTCTAGAGAAGGAACAATATAGTTAATTCACATCCAATTCTTGACACAATAGTGTGCTTCCCATCTTCTTGAGTTAGGACCAGGTATCATAAACTATAAACATTCTTATTAAACTAACAAGTTTTGACACATAAAAGTATGTGTATATGCACCTGTCCCGTGGCAAAGCATGATAGGCAAAGATGCAGCACGTGTTGTGGCCTCACACGATTCACCAATCTTATTGCTCACATCGCTGCATCATAATGATTGTTAATGGCATTGTAAATTGGGATTCTTTTTTATAAAAGAAATACTCCGTAGCATATTTGCAACC